TTCTTCTCTCAACTTGCCCCAGCTGCTGTACTGGGTACTTTCCTTCGGGGAGGTCATTTTCCCCATGTAAGGTTCAAGGGTGGCTTGCATAACAGAACGTCTCACTCACACATCGGGATGTCCGTCTCTTCCTTGATTTTTATGACATACAAACATAAAAATCTCCTCCTCGTAGACGCCAGAGAGCACTATCTTCCCTGATGGCGGTCTGAGTCGACCCAGGGTTGATAAATGAGTTACGGTCATCAACGTTTGTACGGTACACCTGGGTAGCTACCCCACTAACGCTCCCGAGTAGACCTTCGCTGCCGAAAGCTTGACCAACAATCCCCCCACACTTTGTACCGGCGTCTATCCTTCAAGCTTCAAGATATCTACGTACCGCTTGGTGCTCCTTCTCTTTTGGGTCATTTGGTCGGTCAATTGAAAACAAGGTTCTTGAGTATGTTAGGTCTGACATTTTGTCTTGCATTATCCACCCCTCTCCTTGCGGAGAATTTAGGATAGTGCCTGACCAGATTCCCACCGCCCAATGGGAACCGGTATTGTTTTACGGTTATCTCACCACGAGTCCCCAACCTTCATGTGCATCGCACATTTGACCAAAAGGATTGCTGTGTCTATATTTATGCTTCGTTTCCGTTTGCGTGTTGGTATGTATGTAAGGTGGCCAATAACCTTCTACTCTTGCTTACTTTTGCGTTTTCAACTGTGGAAAAAAAATCTATAATAATAATAATAATAAAAACAAAAATGGTCAAGCGTCTGGAAATGTATTTCGTTGGATTCAATTATTTCATATCTGGCTTGTCATGTTTGTGTTACGTTATGAGAAATAAAAAGTCGGTTAGGTCAATTATTTCATATCTGGCTTGTCAGGTTTGTGTTACAGTATGGGAAATAAAAAGTCGGTTAGTTCAGTTTTTCCATGTCTGGCTTGTCAGGTTTGTGTTACAGTATGGGAAATAAAAAGTCGGTTAGTTCAGTTTTTCCATGTCTGGCTTGTCAGGTTTGTGTTACAGTATGGGAAAATAAAAGGTCGGTTAGTTCAGCTCTTTCATGTCTGGCTTGGCGGGTTTGTGTTACGGTATGGGAAAAATAAAAATTTGGTTAGTTCAATTATTTCATGTCTAGGGGCTGGTGGCTTGTTTTACAGCGTCGGTGCCACTCGACGCCAACCTATTCAAATTTTGCGAACAGGAAGAGGAAGTGCCACTGCGAGGGGGCGGGGGTGTACTCATAGTCGTGCATGCCGTCGTCGTTAGACCATTGATCTCGCGTCCCTACAACGCCGGGACGGAGCACGCCGGGTTCTCACCGGACCAGGCTCTCACATCACCAAGCGCGAAGTGCCGTGAGGTGTTCGGCCAGTCGCATGAAGGGTGCGCTGCATCCTGCTAAGGATGTTCGGCATCTTGTGCTTTTTTCCTTGCATACGGGTGACAGCTGCGAATGACTTAATTTATTTTCTGGTGCTTTCACTTCCAGAGACAGTTGTAAGCGCTGTGTAACTGCCTCGAGGGTGCTTGACCAATTTAACACAACATGGTGCGATCATCCCCTTTGCGCGGCGTGACTGTTCTCGACCCCCCACAACATGATCTACTCGACCACCATTCATGGTTACCGAAAAAGAAAAACATCCAAGAGGCCAAAAAAAAAAACGGCACCCTGGTGGTCGAGCTCACGAAGCGATCGGCTCGTTTTACAACGTAATTGCCATTCGACGAAAAACCAACCCGATGAAAAACACCGGGGGGGACACTTGCGAGGGGGGGGGGTGTTAGCGACACGACGGAACAATATAGGGGATACGTCCGGCTCTCGTCTCCATCATCAACATCAGTCCGGTACACATATCTCTATCCGTTCTGCCATCTCCGTCCTGCTCTCTTCGGCTGCAGTCGTGTCTTCTGTCTTTCGACGTTTCCCCCCCCGTGCTCTCTTCCCCCCTGCTTTGCTGTCCTTTTGGTCTTCTGTCCGGTGTTTTTCTTGTTCCGCTCCTCCGCGCGTAGTATGCTTAGCTTCTCTTGCTCCTTGTGCCATTGGACCATGAACTTCTCCGCTCCCTCCATCACCCCTTTGTACCACGGCACCCTTCTTTCCACCTTCACTGCGATAGGCCAGCAGCCACGCGGTATTCCGAACGTCCTCAGGTCATCAGCCGTGGATTCGGCATTGGCACCGAACTCTACGAAGTCGTCCTTCAAACATAACACCCATTTCTTTTCCGGACGCCCGCTGCCTGGGTCCTTCCCCCCCAGGATATCTCCGAACACCAATCGCTTCGGAAATATTTCTTATTTTTCTCTTTTCAGATTCCCAAAGAAGGCATCAAGAGCAGCTTGTGACTAGAAGTGCCTCCTGGGTTGAACACGACATGATTCTCGTGCCCACATCCTATTGGAGCGCGCTGCCAACCAGAAATACGTTTGGTGGTTTCCTTCGCATATACTGAAGTATGTTCCTTGGTCAGCCGGTTAGTGCGGTCAATGTGAAAAGGACACATATCAATCGTATGGCTCTTGGTGGTACGCCCTCGGATTTTCACGGACCAATGGAGAAATGGGTTTGCTTTAGTTCCAGCTCGTCCTCCTGGGTGTTGGTCGAGATTCTGTGAACGAATTCCCAGAGGGCGTGAGAACTCATTTTCCGACCCTGTTCTATCTTTTCATATTTTCTCGCCCTAGTATTGGCTGTATAGGCTTGTCCGTCGCCACGAGGGGCGAGTTTTCGCCACACGCGGTCTCGCCTCTCTTGGCACAGGCGTTAGCGAAAGCGGAAAGATAGGTTTTTGACATATCTGATCTACCTTCATGTACGATTTTTCTGCCATCTTGTTCGAGAACTTGCGGAATGAAACGTCATATTTTGCGTCAAGTAGTCTCGCCACGCACGTGTCTGGGCCATTTCTGGTGCCCCCATACATGCGCACTCTCCCTTCCATCGCGGGTGTCGAGGATTGTCGACTCATGCATGTAGTCAACTGCAATGTGTTGCTTCTTTTGCCATGTCCAAATTTGCAAGGTGTTATTTGCACGGGCGTGTTGTGTCACGTTGTAGTTCCTGAAAAAATTCCCTCTTCGCGTCGACGGCCTTTGCTATGGTTTCTGTGGACGGGGCATGCGCTCTTGCCACCATGGCAAAGGTGTTCTCTGCCATGTTTTTTTCTCCCCTCACACTGTTATTTATGTCAAAAAGCAGCTCTCTTGCCAACGTGACTCGACACATGCAATGTATGCTGTAATATTAAACCGGTAGTGGTTAAATACGTGCTTCAACCGATGGCGGTTCGGAGCGCCCTCCCAAGACAACTACTGCATATTTCTTACTGTTTTGTCGTGTTGAAATGTCACCTTGCCCAGGCCAAGAGGGGGATCATCCGTTCAAGCTGGAGGGTGATGAGATGATGGCTGCACAACGGTATGAGGATGCTGTACGACTGTACTCATCACTGCTTGACTTACAGCCATCCGAAGTTCGTGTATGGGGCAACCGAGCGCAGGTAAGAAGGCAGGTTCGGACCCCTCTTGGATGTACGTATCATACGTACAGAGTGTTTTGGGGTGCGTTCTCGCTTCGTCAGGTATATGGGGTAGTGGATGTTTCTCCGCAGCCAGGCTCTCCGTCGCTGATTGCGGGTGGCTAGTAGCTCATTCACGGTCGCAAAAAATACCAAGGTTTATATGGCTTCGTCCTGAATCACAGCAAGAGATACAGGCGTCATTTCCTCGATGCGATCCCAACGATCTATGCCTTGAACTTTGTAGATTGAGTGACACTGCCCAATCTAGAAGTCCCCGGTCGTCCCCGGGAGCTCGCCAACAACATGTGTAGCTTTCAGCGACATTCGTAGTCATGAAGTATTCGATGTTCTACATGTAGTTTCTAGATGGTCCCGCTGCTGTTGTGTCGTGTCTGCAAAGCACCCTCTGCCGGCTTGTGCCTCAGGGCGCCTGAAGGTGTGTGTGTTTTCCGAGCAGCCTCAGCTAGTAAGTGGATTGGGGGTCTGGGGTGTTTCTCAGAAAAACTCTTGAACGTTGAGATTCCGCTCTTCAATTTCATTTTCAGTGCAAGTGGTTTGTCACACTGAGTTCCCGATATGGAGAGAGGCCAGTGCAGCTCGTCCTCGCCACAGCGCCTGTCATTGGGCCACAACTGGTGAAGTTGGACCGCGCTTCATGCGTGTTGTGTGAGGGCACAGGATGTACAATTCAACGGTCATGGGTACCAATATACGACTCTAGAGGTGTAGTCAGTAGTCAGCCTGTCGAAACAACGCTTGTGTGCTACCTCCTGACTCTTGTATTACGTCAATTGAGTGATAGCGGAGCGCCCCTTCGACAAGGCATTCGTAAGGACTGGACGGCGAGGCGGCGAAACCCCCAATCAGAATATGTCGGCACTTGACTTGATTGGCGTCGTGCGTTTCGATACAGGCATACCTGTACCTAGGGCGCTTCGAAGAGGCAGAGAGGGACGCAACGATGGTTCTGGGAATCGATCCTGACAACATCAAGGCCCACTATCGACGTGGATGGGCGCGGCTGAAACTAAGAACCCCAAATGTGAAGGGCGGGAAGGAAGACCTGGCTAGAGTCCTGTCGCAAGAGCCTGGCAACAAAGCGGTGAGCGGTGCGCGTACCGCACGATGTGCTTGCTTCCTGATGCTTGCATAGAGAACCGAATCACGTACTCAAGAACATAGCCTTGCAGCAGGGGAAACAGCAGTGTACTTCGAGGTTTTTTCCATCAATCGACAAGACCAGATGGACTTCTCTCCATGCTCTCCATCGCAAGTGTTTTTTTTTTCAGGCCGAGAAAAGCGTCCGAGAAGTGTGGCTCCATCAAAGCTGCTGCACTACATAATTGTAGCTCGAAAAGAACATTGTTTCAGCGTATTCAGCCAGGCGTCTGCGCAAGCTCGATAGAACATCGGACTTGTGTGATCTCAGGCAAATACTGGCTTCTCTCGATAGTTGTGTACGTCGGTGTAGTGTTCGGCTGGGGACCCATGGTTGAGGAACGTTGCCGGATCACGATTATTAAAATATTAGGGTTTTACTGTTGTATGACAAACCTAGGGTTCCGATTGGGACAGGACGCCTACTTAAGCTACGCATTGAAATTATGGGGATCTGTGTTTCACTAACTCGCCTCTTGCCACGCTTTCTCCTTAGAAAGCGATCAGTTTTGCTCCAATCTGGTCCTCATTTTTTCTCCAGATAGAAACTGAGGCGCACAGTATTGTAGTGTGCATCACAGCGTACCAAGAGAACCATGGTTAAGACACTTCACTTGAAGCAATGCATCGACGACAGCCAGAGGAAGACAAACCCTTTTTGCAGTGTACCAGTATCTGATATCGCAGAAGGATTGGCGTCTTTTTCAATAACGTTTTGCTGGATTGACCACGCAGGGCAAACACCCTGACTGTGTGCTGGAAAGGGATTGTAAGCGGGCCGCTCACTCGGATCCAGCATTCAGATATTTACCCTTCCTTGAGGCGTCCCGTTTTCGTCCTTTTGATTAGAGGGAAAAAAACATAACGTGTTCGGTGGTGGGTTTGGATGTCAGTATTTTTAGAAGGAAATGCTAAAGTAGATCCTTTTCCGGTATTGTATCCTGCTCATGAATAGCTACTTAGCCCAACATGTAGTGCGTGTAAATGCGGCGTTAAGAGGGATCGCGATTGTGTTTCTTGTTTGTTTTTAAACTCCACATTTGTTGTTCTTATGGGTTCGCCAACAACGCACACTTCATTTTTAACCCTCATAATCTACTCTGGAAGTTCCATATCAGCCAAGTCAAATGGCTTGCAAAAAGGGGTAAAAGGGCACATTGTAGGGCATATCAACAGCATTCGCTAACCTGTGGGATACACGGCTGTAGTTGAAGTAACTCAGTTGAAACGATTGGTAACGATTACCTCTAGATTCCCCGCACTTGCGGACAAGCCATCTCGTAAAAGGAGTGCCTACAAGCCCCGATCACGAACCATCGGCAGGGGCGGGGGGGGGGGGGGGGTCTGTCATGTGTGGCCTAAGGTCACGAATCGGTGACCACAAAACGTTTTTGGGAATAGATCGGTCCTTAGCCCTTTGAGCTGCGGCCACGAAATGGCTGCAGGGAAAAACCTTCGATACAGCAGTGTGCAAACTTTCGTTTCGTCGGGACTTGGTTGCCCGACCAAGCGCATGGCTTGTCACCGTCTGAATCCCGCGTTGCTCATGTTTTGAATTAAATTCGCATCGCACTCGTTGCGTACGCGTCGCCCCTGGATACAATTTCTACTACAGATGCATGTTGTTTGTGCCAATCTGTGCTCATGTTTGCCATGCAGAGGGTAGACAAATCTAGCGGCACGCAGGTTCAAGAACAACTGATGCCGCTGTTTAGGGCATTGCAGCTTTTCCTCAATAGAGGCATATTTACCGTTATTGATAAGGTACAATGGCGGCATTCTGCCGCTTTGGTGGGCGAACGCACTAGGCCTACAGGTGCACAACAACAGCCGTCGGTTCATGCGTCCTCTACTTTGCCACGTCTGTACCTCGCGCAATATGATGTTCTCAAACATACACATCGGTTGTTGTTGTTGTTGTTGTTGTTGTTGTTGTTGTTGTTGTTGTCGTCGTCGTCGCTTCCAAGCTAGATAGAAAGCATTCAGGTCTGCGCTGATGTACCTACCTAAACCCGCTGGGTCCAGCTGATGCGAGTCCTTCCGTGGTCGCCGGCTACCTGGCCCCAAGAGGGCCTCGCGTGTAGAACCGAAAATGAATTACGATGTCAGAAGATCACACATCGACTTGGTACTTTGTTTGGTACCAGGGGGCCGATGTTGCAATACTACAGCTGCAGTACCACAGACTGAAAGATACAACAGGGTAACGGCCGGATCGTTGCACTGTTGCACACGGCAGTGAAACAAGTGTTCAATTGCGCATGCTGGCATCGATGGGTGGGAGCACGTGGCGGAAAGCAGCCAACGCATATTGCAGTGTGTGTGCTGGTGTGTGGGAGAGAGGGGGCTGCGGTGCTTGATATTTATGGATCGCCGCCCTTCAATGGGAGAGCACGCCAGTAATCCGGTATTGGGAACTTTCGTGTCACACATGTAGGGGTGCATTGCCGCTATATCGGCACTTCCGCTCGCCAAGGTGCCGCTGTATCGGGCTACCCACGTGCCGAAATGGGTTCTGGGTCACAGACTGCTGTGAACAGCATGAAAACACACAGACCCTCTACGCGGGCTGGTAGCGTTAGCTCCAAAATCTGCTTCTACACATGATCTCAAAGCGCGATACTTTTGTCGCATGGTTTTCATCCCTGGTGAAAGAAACGACCACAGAGCAACCAAAGCCAGAGAGGTCAGTCCATTCCGTGTGATTTCAGCACAAGCGTCGGAACGTCACGTCATTCATTGAGAAGGAGATTCTCTCTGCCTAGCCCCCCGCTCGATTCAGGCATTCCTGTTGACTAATTAGCAAGTCTACCAATCTCAGATCCTCGGGAGATGTATGGGCTTGAATAGTTTTTCCACGAGGGTCGTGTTCTCCGCTTTCACATCACCCATCATGGCCACTTTCCAAATCCGTTTGAACGCGCCACAAAGTGTCTTCTATCGCATTTTTTGCACCGCCCGCTGCCAACTCCACCTACCCTGTACCACTGTCTGCTGCTCTCCAGCCCCCCCCCCCCCACCTCCCCATTGGCCTATTTGTAGACGCGTCATAAAAATGGAGTAATCACTAAACGAAAGAGAGATGTCATAGGTCTGGAATCGGCCGGGGCGACTCAGGGCGATCGATAAAAGCAAAGCTCGGGATATATTGTTTGCTTTGCGTTGCCGTTCTCCCCCCGCTCGCGCCCACTGGGTTTTTTGTGTATTCGAACGACATAGGCTAACTACTACAGCAGTAAGGTCAACAGGTGCGATTGGCGTATGCTATGCTGGTGCTTTCTTCGTGATTGGTCGTTTTAGAAAAGATGCGATCAACGGAATGTTTCATACCACGCACCGCTTCGTGCCAAACGCATCGGGCCCCATGCGTGCATCAGGCAAGGGACTTGCTGCAGAACTTCGAAGAACGGGGCCTTGACGAAGATGCGGGTGTGGCGTTGACCGTCGTCGAAGACGACAGTGAGGATGGATGCTCGTGGTGCCCAGTGTCGACGATGCCCGGAAGGGATGAAGACGAGCGGGCCTCACTTGATTTTTGGAGGAAAGGCGAACAGTTTAAAAGCAATAAGAAGTGGCAGGAGGCTCTGGGCTGTTTCAATAGAGCGGCCGTTGCTAACCCGTTGAACTCCAAGAATTGGGTCAGCATTGCAGAGGTGAGTCAGTGGGGGGAAGTGGCGACACCTAACGCCGTCTCCGTTTGGACTCAATTGACCCTTATGACACCACTCGACTGACTACCTCGAGTCCTGGCGCCCGTGTCGGTAGTGTTCCACTGCTGAAGCCACAATCGCGATGTGAGCGCGCCCACTGTTCCATCATTTTGTCTAGCCGACAACTATATTGTTCACCACATGACAGCAGTTGTTTTTTTGCCTCCTACCCAAAGGTTCACCGTGAGCAGGGGAACCACAGGGAGAGCGAGGAAGCTTCGCGTCGGGCTGCATGTATTGCACTGGTGAGATCATTCTCCGCGAGTGTGCAGTCGCCTGAGTACACGTTATAGACTCGAAATATACGCCTTCACCTACGGGTCTGCATGTGCCGTGCTGAATGCTTGCGTCGGATCCAAGGTGTGTCAACCGTCCTCATTATTTTTCTCGTTGATACCAAATGGTTTCACTTCGTTTCATGAACTGAAGTATACCCCACGCCTCACCAATCCTCAAGAAACCAAGGAACACCAACACTATGTTCATACACGATACTTGCCCCCTTCTGTGTTCAACTCAGAACCAACGGCAGGACTGATGTTGCTTGAGGGATGTTCGTCCTGGTTGCGCGAGCGCCACCAAAAGAGCAACTTGGGGCACAAAAAAAAGGAACCGGTTGTTGTACGTTTCGGTGGTAATGTGCGGTGTACTCGAGGGTAACGTCACGCCAGCTTGAGTTTTCTTCAACCCGAACTATCCTGCTCCGCTTTGGGAGAGGATTGCCTCAAAATCGAACTTCCTCAGAAGAAATTCCTCTCTCTTGTTGCCATCTTTTTGTCGAGTGTTGGATTTTCGGGAGCTTGTGCTTTGAAGCAAGATCCCATTAGGGCAGTCTGCCAGTTGATGGTAGCCTTGGTGCTATGGCCTAGACATTGTGCTGCTGCTGCACGAGAAGCAAGTACTTGTAGATCATATGAATTTTCAGTTTTGGGCGTGTCACAGAGGAGTGGGGTGTTCGGCGACTCTCAACTCAAGACGATTTCGGCCCGCACGCGGAACTCAATCACCTCTCTTTCCGTGGCGCCGACACGGGGACCGCTCTCTCCGTCACGACCGCTTCAACCGCCTTCTCGCCCTGCATCTACTGTACTGTCACTGTTAAGATTCGCGACGCTGATTGGATGAGATGCTACTGTGTTCTGACTCCGAACCCATTTCTCGATGTACTTTCATTCTGTCGGGGGTTTTGCGAAGAGAGCTGTGTCCACGCATCACCACACAGCTGTGTTGTGTCTTTCTCTCACACAGAACTCATATCCCCGATGCCCACAGTGACTGGTAGACGCACTTAAGCCATGGTGTGGAGATGGGGACTTGTAACTCACCACCGGCAAAATGCGGGCAAACACCTGCTCTTTAATAATGTAGAAAAATTCTTGCCTACCACTTCTGATACACAGTACCTTCCACGTGGCATACTCCACATTATCTACGAAGCACGCGGACGGCTGTACCCCCAACAAAGGACAGGGCGGGCGAAGCGCCCCGCGTCTGGATTTACGGTCACCATTCTGTTGTATCCAACAAGATGCACTCTGTCGTGGCCATCTGGTCTCTGGAACGACTGCACCTACAATATTTTTCACAATGCTCCACCAAGGGGGCTCCTTAGATCCTGGTTTGATTTTAAGAGAAAATCTCGGGGACTTCCTCGAAACCTCGCTGAAACCGAAAGCTTCCCGCCACACACTTCTCCGTGGAACCCGAAACATCTCAAATCGACCTTTCTTCAGCCGTCGTTGCTGATGCCCATCTTTCATTCATGGACAGCAGACAGACCGCAGGCTGCGGTATTGTTGACCTCGGCATATTCGTTCGTAGTTCGTAGTGTCTCTTGGTTGTGCTGAGGTCGATCTTGGAGCTCCGCTCACTCTCTCTACCGCTTCTTTCCCCCGGCCTTCCCTTTCGCCCCAGCTTTAGCTTTCGGGGCGGGCTTCTTGGCACCAGCATTCGGGTTGGGGATGACGCTGAAAAAGCTGTGAGAGGGAAAGTTGCGGGATGTTGTTCCGTGAGCGAGCTACCGGCATTGCCTTCGTTCACTGAATCAGAAGCTTCACACCGGACGGTAAATCGCTTGTCCACATCACATTTCAATGCATCTGGTGATTGAACAGATCTCATCACGTATCTACACACCACAGGATCACGAAATCACTTGTTCACCTGTCCATCCGCTTCTGCGACACGTTCTTCCGTGCGCCCTTGAGCTTAACAATGCCGGACGCTACGCGTTCAGCGTTGAACCTGTTGCAAGCGGATCAGAACATCTTTCAAGCACGACCTGGGTGACCACAAGGTTTCGGCACCCTTTTCTCGAAGGGAACCAATGGTGAAAACACACTAGTTTCCAAACTGGTGAGCATCGCATCACTTTCCACACCCCCGATAATCCCCTTGACATGCGATGGCACCCGCCTTCATGATGCTTACCCCAGGCGTGCTGCGTGTATTTCCATAGCCATGGACACGGATGCAGGAAACGTACGTTCGCTCGACTACTGCAAACAATTGGGGCAATTATGAAGATCCTCCTTTTCTTGAGTGCGTACAAGCCTCGAGCACCGTCTTGAACAAGTTAGTGAAAACCCAAAGTCCAACCAAGCAACCGCTTATAATAGGGAGACGATGTTGTGAGGTCGTGGTACGCACCCCTTTTCTTCAACGAGGAACTTGATCAGTCCCGGCTCGTCAGGGTCGGTCCACTTCAGCTTGTACTCCCCGGCTGGTTCCACCTGCAACTTGGTCAATTATTTCTGACTTAGTTGCATCAAAGAAAGACCTGCAGAGCCGTGGTAGAAGTAGAATCTATCCAGGACGATTAAGGTTGCCACGGCTATTGGTAGCATGGGAGAGGTAGCGAGGTAGAACACCTTACCTCAGGCTTGAGGAACAGTCCTCTGGCTTGACGGTACATTGGAGGGGTGTCGTCCATCTCTTGTTCGCTCTCTGCGGCATCTTCCGTTTCTCGCTCGCGTTTCGCGGAGACATCTGCGGCTTCCTTGGCAACGCTGACCCCGTGGTCCGGCGTGTCAGCCTTCGCCTTGTCACTGTCGGAGTCGCCCTCCTTCTGTTGCACGTCTTCCTCGCTCACAGCCTCAGGATTGGCGGTCTCAGCCTTCACCTTGGCCTCTTCCTTCGCGCGGGCCTCCTTCCTTGCCTTTGCCTCCTGCCTTGCCTGCTTGCGCCTCTCGGCCCTCTCAGCGGGCTCCAACCAATCGTCGGGTACTGGGTACTTCTTGGCGTCAAGGTGCTTGATGATCTCCTCGATGGTGCCATGCTGAAAAAGGAAAAAGCCGAATGAGGTTGGGAGTTCTCGAAGCGTCAGGGCTTGGGGCACACTGATTGTCGAAGAATCGATCACATGTGGTTGAAAAGGTAGCAAACTGCAGCAACGGCGGGTTTGGGACTCGTGTCATCCATGATACGCATATGTTGTTGTTGTCTTCACAATAAACCGTTCCGTTCTCTCTGTCCAGTACCTTCTTCTGTCCTCACTAGTCTAACACTTGGCAGGGTCGATTCTCGTGGTCACAGGCTAACTTACCCAAAAAAGGAATACGACACCACCCTAACCCTAACCCTGATGCATATCCCAATAAAGTTTTCATGTCAAAATCAATGCCACACGAGAACCTTATGCCGACAACTCTTCCATTGCCAGTCCATCTGCTTTAGTCCCATCAAGCCAGCGCCAGCGACTGAGCATCTCCTGTGCGACTGCTACTAAACATTTTGGTTCATCTGGTTCAATTTGGCTTGTTGTGGGTTTCGTTCCTGCTACCGCGACGCCACAATGATCGATTGGCATCACGGTGGCCTCCTGGACCCGGACAAGTTCACAAGGTACTACGTACGTGGTTCCTCACCTGACGAACAAGAGCAAGCGCTTTCTTTGGGCCGATCCCTTTGATCGATCCAGTGTAGTCACAACCACAGAGGACGCAGAGGTCAACAAACTTTTCGTGGGAGAGCTCCAACCCCTGCAGATATTTGTTGACCGTCGCGTAGACAACGGGTCGGTGAACGATTTCACATATTTGCGAATGTTATGGTCATGCATCTCATGAGAATAGGAGAGCAGGCATGAGCACAGGGATCGGGAAAAGATCGCCCAAAAGGAGCACATAATCTCGACTGACCTGGAGAAGCTTCTGGTAGTCCACCTCCAGAATTGGCTGGTTGGAACCGGAAAAAGTCATGCGGCGCAGCAACTTGGGAGTTTGAAATGTGAGCGCGTCCATATCTTCCGTGGCGGTGCCGTACACAACTCCCTCCCGAGCCAGAGCAGCGCACTGCGCCTCAGCTTCAGAAGGAGCCTGCGAGAAAATCACAAAATCGGGAAAAGCACAAAATTAATCGAATATGGCAGCAGTCGACGACATCAGATTGCATCCTCGTCGTAACCATAGCCATGTAATTTCCCGAGGACGAAATACAACAAGCTACACACGGGTACGTACTCACAGTCACCACTGGAACACCCATCAGGCTGAGCAATTTCTTGCAGTCCTCGTTGTGATCCCGCGTGACCCTAACCAGACGTTTAGAAAACTTGTCAACATCGTTCTTGTCGTCCGCCTCGGTAGCCACCTTCAGCTCCGCCTCAGCCTTGGCGCGCTTGGCCGTCCGCTTCGCAAGCTAACGGAGTGGAGCAAAGCAAGTGCAACAAGAAAGACTGCCAAAAGTAAGGTACAACCAGTTGGAAGCTGGCTACCGACTTTCCAAGTACCAATAGTCTTATCGAAAGTCCCTTTTGAGTTTCAACCTTTCAAGGATCTTGACCACGGCGCCGCAGTCAGACACCGGGAAACAACGAGCATCGTGTTGAGGTGTGTGTAAATGAGTTCGGCAGCAGCAAGCTGAAAGCACCGACAAACACCCCAGCGATGATTGCATCGTCCTGACAAACCACACTGCTGTATTCGAAGTACAGGGTGCACAGCGTTTTGAAGAAGCAGTTTGGCACAGCGTGTGGGTTCGAAAAACGAAGTGAAGCCCATTTGTTTTTTGTCGAAAAAAATGATTTTGAAAGAATACTGTTGCTGCGTTATTGCAAGTGCGGGTGCGAAGATACTTCGCGACCAGGTTTGGGTTCGCGCATACACTCACAGACTGCATGCAGTAGTAGTCCCTCTTGGAAAAACCTTCACACAGTATATAGATATTTACCACATCGTCTACATACATTGAGGTAAAGCTGCGCATGTTGCCAACTGGAAGGACAGGCGACACGTGGGAATGCACGCATCGTGCGAGTAACACTTCGAAGTGTAAGACAAATAGTAGAAGACTACCTTGTCATGATGGAGCGCCAAGGAAAAATGACCTATCTTATGTCGGATAGATACGAGTTCGTCAAAAGGATTGCACGTATGAATTCCACAACGCAGATGTGTCTGTATATGCCAAGACAGTAGCAGTTCCTGGCGGGGCGAACGGGAGCAACCACAACAAAACAACAAAAATACGCTCAAACTGGAGTACAGCACCACCACCACGCGGTCCGGAACTTGATTTGATGCGTACCTCCCCGCCCTTGAGCTGCGGAGGCTTCCCATCGAAAATGTAGCAGGGCTTCACGCCCTTGGAGAGCATCCGAATCGTCCGATTGAACATGCCTTGGATGTGAGACGTCACCTCGCCGGCCTCGTTGGTGAGCATCTGTGACTGGCCTTCTCCTCCGGAACGAACGGCGATCTTTTGCAAACAGCAGCCACCAGGTTGATTTCAAGTATGCAAAAAACGCCGGCGCGCGAACACGAACAAAATTCAAATTCAAAAAATCTACGGGGAGACATAGACTAAAGCAGACAGCACAGCAATTTACAGCAGTATATAGTCTAACAAACAAGGAGGGCATTGAAACAACATTCCACAACCCACGGAATTTGGAACATTGGGAAGAACAACACCTACGTATTGATGCCTTACCAAGAACTGGTACATGGCCATGGAGGCATCGACCGCCACTTTGCGCCCTGTCAGAGAGTCTAGGTCGACCTCCTTCATGCAGTTTGGTGCCTCGTCCGACAAGAGCTTCGTCAATCCATGAATCCCCATGCTTTCTCTCGGTCCCTCGACGCCCTCTTCCACAAATCTATATCTCTGGGTGTAGACGGTGAGAGAGAGAGAGAGGCACGTCTCACACGCTACGAGGATGGTGGGCTGTGGGGGTGGTCACCAACTCGACATCGACAAAATCAAACTAATTGTTAATTGAGAAGGGGGCTCCGCCGTCGGCATCAAAATAGGCGGGGGTGTATATCATTTGAGGCTGAGCGCCCACACTCAAGCAAAAGCACACAGCTCATTCCGCATCAGCTAGCGGGCAAGACGGAGATAGAGACAGGGGTAGCGATGAACTTCAGTAAGATTGGAGTTCAAGGCTACAGTCTTGGAAACCTGCAGCTTACCGCTGAAGAGCTAAACTGGACATCAGACGACAAATCAAGGCAAGGCAATATACATACAGTAGTCAGGAGGGAGAGAGGAGACAGATAGCAACGAGAGTTTAAGTTGAAATATTGTGGATGCGATCCTGGTTCAGCCTTCTCCGTCAGACAGGCGTCCTGTAAGACGGGTTGCTGAGTATTACACTAAAAAATAGCAATGAATTCAGCCTTTAGTAGCCGTTCCCACCGCAAACGAAACGTAATCTGCACTTGGCGTGACCCATCTCAACGAACCGCCGCATTCGACGATGAACTGCTGCAAATACGAATTACACCCAGCTCTACGGCGCGATCGCATGTCATTTAGCTAGACGTCCTCTCTGGTTATCCCTACAGCATAGTCCGGTGTATGGGTATTCTAACACGAGCATTTCTTCCTTGTACGACGGTGTGCATCACCTGGATCTTGTTAAAACTACTATACACAGTGACACGAGTAGCAGCAGCGAATACCACCCACCTGAAATTCAAAATCAATGTGAACCTTGTGCCGGACCAGATACGAAAAGTTTAAGGGCGCGGGGGGGATCGCCGTACCTCCTCTGAAAAATCCAGGGTACACCTCGGTACCATTCCCGCCGTTTTTTCCCGCCCAACAACGGCGGTTTTTTGGCGGTCCCGGTACCGGCGATAATTACCGCCAAGTTCAGGCAGTACCGCCAACCGCCGGACGCGTTTCCGCCGAAAAATTGAGTGCGTAAACCGCCAAAAATACCGCCGTATAGTACATCTTGTTGCACTAATTAGCGTCAGAGAGCAGGTACCGTCATATTTCGGTAGTAGCGAGCACGCCGAAGGCAAACCCAGCGTGTTTCGTTGCCGCCAGAAGAGTATCAGCATATTTGATGACCGTGCATTCACGTGCAGACCGTGGTCATGACTTCGCCCAAACGTACAAACCCCGTATTTGGCGGTTCCGGGAACCGCCGAAGAGAACCGCCATTTTTCAGTACCGCCAGAAAAAGTACCGCCGAACTTCAGCAGTACCGAGTACCGCCGAAGGAAAGTACCGCCACATTGGTGAACAGCCCCGCCTGTGTCCGCCAACAAAAAGCGGTACCGAGGTGTACCCTGGAAAAATCCAGGAAACGCCTGCATATCTCGGTTTTCCAAAGTCTAACTCCAGTACGAAACTACCATCGTAAATTAACCGCCCGCAGCGGTCGCTTGTGTACAATGGTTAGTAGCTGAGGTTGTACCCCTTGCGATACACTACAGAGTAGCGGTCCGCGATTTTCCAAACGATCCTTCTATCATCGAGTTCGGTGAGCTTACAAGCTAGATTTTTGAAGCTGCTGTGCGGTCCAATTTTGAAACGCTTCAAGCACCTTTCCGTAAAGGCTGGACATGCATATACATGACCCTAGGCATTCAAATCGACAATGGCGACCAGCTGGATATGTGAGGGAAGAGCTGCGCTGAAGTTCGCGGCCCCATACACTCACATAGGCGGTGATTCATGTTCGCCGTGTGCTTGAAGCGTTTCAATATTGGACCGCACAGGAGCTTCAAAAATCTATAATAGCTTGTAGCTCACCGAACTCGATGATAGAAGGATCGTTTGGAAAATCGCGGACCGCTAGTCTGTAGTGTATCGCAAGGGGTACAACCTCAGCTACTAACATTGTACACAAGCGACCGCTGCGGGCGGTTAATTTACGATGGTAGTTTCGTACTGGAGTTAGACTTTGGAAAACCGAGATATGCAGGCGTTTCCAGGCGTTTCCTGTTTTTTTTAAGAGGAAGTACTGCGATCCCCCCCGCGCCCTTAAAATGCCCACCCAAATACCTGAATGTCTGCCACGATTTTTATTGTATCAATCAGAGGAGGCCTCTGTCTAAACTTGGGGAAAAATAAATACACGCACAGAGAGACTACCCATTCGAGATATACCCACAGTCGAACGGGATGTGTTGGAGTCTTTTCAGTGAGTGGAGGAAAACCGGCTGGGTACTGGACTTATTTCGAGTATTTGTAAGTCTTTACACTGATGATTTATATCAGTGATGCCAGCTGGTGCTAAGTACAAAAACATCTGTATAGGTAACGTACATTTTACAATACATCCCCTGTAGTTCTCTCCCTAAATACTATGCAGTGCCGGGTGAATGGTGCCAATGCCCGGTATAGTGCCGGTGTTTTCGGCGGGCACACTCTGAATTTCCAAGTCATCGTCAGTAGTTTGAATAGTGCCGCTCCGGTATAGTGCCGGTGAATTTTCTGGGCACATACCGGCCCTAAAACAGGGACCCCCTCTAGTTTGAAATAGGGTGCTTCGTACTCCGAAAGTATGATATGTCTGCGTACAATACCAACACTTCCGTTCATAGCAATACAATAGTGTCGCATCTTTTTTTGCCCAACTTGTCAAGTAGCATGCATAGCGTCGTACTTAGATAAAACACCATGTGTGGACACTTGTTTAGGCCGCCCTGCGATATCGCCACCAAGGCAAGGCGAGTACCACAGAAAATCGCAAGCATGTTTTTCTTGGCCTTGACCCGCCTCGTGCCTTCAGGAAGCCCCCTCTGCCCCATCTCCCCACGTACTCTCCACAACCGTTGTTGGTATGTTTATGTTTGTACTCATTGGTCTCTTTTCCCTCCACCTATCCGGTTGTTCAGCTCGAAGAAGGTGAAATGGCTCGACGTTTCTCATGCGACGTGGGCGCAATATGCGGCGTACTGTCATCTCCGACTGTTCATGAAGCGCGACGCCCGGCCGGTGCGGCTTGATGGTTTCAGCAAAGCGCAACACGCAGGTGCGAACTTTTGCAGTTTCGTCTGCAGCGTTGCTTGCTGCGTGCACCCCTGTTTCGATATCTTCGGTACATGTACCTTGCCAGATTTGCTACGGTTGTCCTGCCGACATGGATGTCTAGACTAGTCTTTCCGAGGGAGATGTGAGACGATGAATTAGAGTAGCCTATTTCGAAGGCCAGGAGTACCCTCTCTTCCTACGTACGAACTTTGCTACGACGAATCGCATATTTTGTCTGGCACCACCGCAATGTTTTGATTTCGTGGACAGATATCGAGAAGTTTCTCTCCGAGCGGGATGTGAGCCTTTCGAACGAATCGCCGAATCCTGGAGGCGGCAACTACGGAGACATCGAGGTTCTTGACAATATCGTGCGCTTCAGCTCAGGGAACAAGTGCGTAAAATTCGAACCGGCTGAACAGCAGCAGTGAGGTTTCTTGGCACCAGTTTGTGGTTCGTGACTTCACTGTGCCTACATGTAGTACGACGTCACACCTCACGAGGTGCAGCAATACGTTGTACCATAGTAGTCAGCGCTATGTCGAGAGGCACGTCTATTGTATTTCATGCATGCAGACACAGTCTGGAAGACGCGACCAGGTCAGTCGACTCTATTGGTCGCGGTGCGATCGTACGAGTTCATGCACTGTTCTTGTTCTTCGCCTTCACCGTAAAACCATCTGTAGTGCTGTGCGAACTCACTCCTACACTGTACAAAAATGAGGGAAAAATGTAAACCGGCTGCAACCTGTGCTAGAACCATTTCGGGAAGCTATTGATTGTTTCCAATCCAGAAAAGATCAGTTTGAATAGGGCTAGCATCACACACCTCCAAAGAGACAATGCGTTTCCTTATTTTTCATTGTTGTGTAGCCGCAAGCCTGAGAGCAGAACAATATGATGAGGTGTGTGAGCATTAGTTGGATCAAAACAGCACCAGTTGCGCGTCTCGGACGTCACTGGCACTGCTGAGTACTGCTTGCATGAGCATCTGTTGTGCGGCACCAGTTACACCAAGAAGTTTTCCCTCACACGCATTTAGTTTTTGAATGTAGGTTTGGCGTGGCATGCTGCCTCTACTTGGTGCAGCACACGAATTCCTTTCAAACTATATCCCTAGCTTGCGGATGTTTCGAAATACAGTTGTGTGCTACATATACAACATTTCGAAACTGATCCAATTCTCTCTTTGCAGGACCTTGTTTGACCTGAACATCAAAGACGTCAGTCAATGCGTCATGCCGGGAGTCAAGAAGAGCAACGACGTGGAGTTACAACTACACGAGAGCGACGCCACGGATCAGACAGAGGTAGGTCACGGTATGGTGCAACGCTGTACTACGGGGTGAACATTCCGGATTGCCCAGAGAGAGCTCTTGACATTTGCTGGCTAACCTTCTTGGTTGTGTACTCTTGTGGTTGCTGCATCCAGCCGGCCAGCTCCAGTGAAGTGTCTGCCAAAATGTTTGTGGAGTGATACTCTTAACTGCTGCATCGTTGTGTTGTGCCCTAGGATACATTGGTGGCCATTCGCGTCACGCTGCCAGAGAAGGATGAGGACACGGATGAGCGTTCGCCGGCAGAGAGCCTGCAGATGGCGGTAAGCATGCCTGTCCAGATATTTCTTTCAAAGAGTTGAATTTTGATTCTCCACCGGTTGCTCGCAGTAGCACCGCTTGCGTCGATGAGAAATGGACGTCGCAGGCTCTCCTTGTTCACTCGTTGCGCTATATTGTGTACTCCGTAGTAATAGTCTGGGCTTGTCACGTAGGGGATACTTTGAGATATTCTCCTTCCCGACCATAGTACGAGTAGGTGGCAAACAACAGCTCACCAACCGTGGTGCTTTGAACTTCCGTGGTGCTAGAACACAAACTTTCACGTGGCTCGCTGGCATGCACAACCGGGTCTGTACCACGACACGTTTGTGTTTATTCCTGTTGGCGTTGACAATACCGTATACGACACAAGATAACACATCCGCTGGACCGATTTTCAAGGCTCGATTTATAAAAAGAAGGGAGAGTCACAGCGCTGAAATGGCAGCGTTGAAGCCGTCTGGTCGAAGAGCTCTCCGAAAACGTATCGTTTCGTTTATGTATCCTCTTCGTGGTGTAGTCGATCTTTGAAAATCGGTCAAGGGGGGATGTTGTGTCGTCGCATCGGGGACTCACTGCCAAATTGCGCTTGGGTGGGTACAGCCCGTGCATTTATGATACTTGTCTTGCCCGAGTGACGCGGCGAGAGTATTTACCGTTGCACGTTCCAAATATCCGAAACCTCGTGCAGGTGATGGAGCGGGCTAATATTCACGATGTCAAGGGGAAAGTACTGGTCGAGTTCAACGAGAGCCAAGGCACTTTCGACTTCCCGAGAGGACGCTACTCAGTCGAAATGTATAGCCACTTCATGCGTATGCATGGCTCCAGGTGAGATCGTATTGCATCCGTTTCTTTCACGCGTTCTAAACCAAGTCGACCGTTTGAGGAGTTTTGTGGCACTTCGTTATCCCTTGAATCGAGAGTCAATTTGGCGCTCCTTGTGCAGCACCAATATGGCCTATCGAATGTGTTCTGTGTGTAAATCCGAGACGTCGCAATTTTTGTTCTTACTCCCCCCCCCTCCTACCCCTAGGTACGACTACAAGATCCAGTACAACGATATATCCAAGTTGTTCTTGCTGGAAAAGCCGGATGAGCGCTACGTGGCGTTCGTGATATCTCTGGATAAGCCTATTCGGCAGGGGCAACAAAAGTACCAGCACTTGGTGCTGCGCACAACAAAGGTACGGCGCCACGCGGCGAACTGAATGCGTGGCCGGGGTTGTTCTCTCTCGTGTTCGTCTTTGGTTAGATAGTCTCGGCGATACGCCTCCGTAAGGTAGTGCCGGGTGCCTCGCGAGCCATTCTTTTCCTTTGGACGTTTGCTGGATTTCCGGTTCCCGCTTGAATGTGTCGCACCGTACATACAGCAGTAGATCTTTTGCACGTTGGGTGGTTCTTGGTAGTACCCTGTGTATACGCGTGATTCGTCTGTGTGCGTAGCGCCTAGCCAATCTCCTCTCTGTACAGCATCGACTGCCTCACTGGGAACGGACATCCTTTGCGCCTCTTTGGAGCCATACTCGAGCTCCCTTATCCTTGCCATGTTGTTTTTGGTATCAGGACGAGGCCACGATAACGGTGAACATGAGCGCGGAAGATCTACAGAAAAAGTACGACAGCAATCTTAACTCGGAGATGATCGGGCCCCTTCACAACCTCATCGCTAAGGTGACAAAGCTGGTACTGCTTGTTGACGTGATCTGAAGCATCTATTGGTACATGTCAGTTGAGTTGGTCCCTCTTTTTGGGTTCCAACACCGCACGTTGTAGGTGTTGAAGACGAAAGGCTCATTGCGGTAGATGTTCACGCTGAAGCAGACTGAATGTACGGTGCTAGCATGTGTACGCCCGTATGTTGGGTTTCGAGCAACCCTTGAAGGAACCGTCTAAGGAAAGTGACATGTTGTGCTTGTTTCATACACGCACCGATTATTCTAAAAAATCGACCTCATGCCGAAAGCTTGTGGGTTTTCAGCGGCATGAAATATCTACTCTGCACTAGTCTGCCGTGTCTTTCTTTCATGTGGATAGGTGACACACTACTGCTTCGGAAGTGTATTTTGCACCCTCCACGATTCGTGTTGTCAATCTCAATGCCAGACTTACGCCACAACAATGTATCCCTTTTATCGTTCACTCTTACCGTGGGCAGATCTTCAAGGTGCTATCGAACAAGCCGGTTTACGTGACGGGCAAATTTAGCAGCACCAATGGCGCCAAGGCTGTCAAGTGTGCGCTAGGGGCCAACGAGGGATACCTGTACCCCCTCAACAAGGTACGAGTTCGTGCACAAATCGAAACCTTTCTTTCTTGTCTACGAGAAGCGTATTGTGGCGTTTGTCCTAACACGGCGCCGCCGCTGTCCCGATATTCTTCTCGTTGGCAGTCCTTCATCTTCATCCACAAGCCGACTTGCATCATTGGCTTTGACGAGATCGAGTCCGTCGAGTTCCAACGATATGGCGGAGCTCAGGTGGGACCATGTGGCACGCATGTAGGGTATTGGCATTACATATATATCCGCTGCGCCTGGCATTTTGGGTTGAATGAAGCCAATGATGGGAGCAAGTGGCGTTGTCTTGATGTAGTCGAGGATGCAGCTTCGGCAAATTGGTGACTTGCGCCCCGAACGTCTTTTCGTCGAGCGCATCACCCTCGCGCCGAGCAGCTGGAACGTTGTACCAACTCGCGCATGCAATCAAGGTTATCCAGTCAAACGAAAGCTTAATTTTTTTGCCTCTTACAAAGCTCGAGCCGCAAATGACACAGCGACGGCCATTCTCGTGTTCCTCACGACAGGGAGCAGGCGTGACCCGCAACTTCGACCTGTGCGTTGCGCCAAAGTCAGTGGCTGGCGAGACCCCGAAGCCGTATGTATTCAGTGGTATCGATCGATCAGAGTACTCTTCCCTGTACTCGTTTTTGAGCACTAAAAAGCTTCGAATCAAGAACATCAAGGAAAGCGGCAACGACAACGCCATGCTTCAGCTCGGGGATCTTGATGACCACGATCCCTACAAGGCAGCCCTGGATGACGACCAGGTATCTTTGTCAAGGCCCTTTGGGACATAGACCAGGCGTATCCAACATCGGCTAGGTGCGGTCGCTTTAGACGTATTGTTAATGTTTGAAATAACCTAGGAACCATAGTGCCAGTTATTTGCAGGGCGCGACTGCCTTCGCGCGGCTGCCTTCTTGTCACAGCAAATTCATGCCAAGCCCACTTGCCCGACCCCGTGGCGGTCTCAGGGCGAGGATGAAGAGAGTGAAGACGACGCCGACTACGCCCCGGACGCACGTGGTGGATCCGACGCGGAATCGAGCTCCGACTCCGATGGGGACGAGGACAGCGACGATCGCGCACACAAAACTTCGAAAAAGAGACCAGGGACTGGGTCAGCGAAAAAGGGGCCAACTCAGAAGAAGGTCGGTCGGCTGCAGGTCTCTCGCTTGTTTCTGTTTGTTTGTTGTGCGGCCGGGTATCTCGAACGAAGGCCGAACCTGCAGACAAATGATGCCCCATCCGTTTTTCAAGGTCAACTCTTGTGTGGATGGTTCGAGTCCACGCATTGGTTTTACATGTGCAAGCTCGATGCGAGGGTCGTGCTCTGCGTAGCTTCGAATAGCACGTCGGACCAATCTCCGTTTGCGTTGTCGGAAATTGTACCAGCTCCGCAAATCCATTCAAATTGCAGCCCTGAACCCTCGTCGCTCAATATATGCTTCCCTTAGCGTGCCTCGGGTGGAGGCTCTTCGAAACCGGCGCCAAAGAAGAAGAGGGCCAAGAAGGACAAGGATGCACCCAAGGGTGCCATGAGTGCTTTCATGCAATTCTCCCAGGCGAACCGCGCTCAGGTGAGAGCTATACTCGCACAGTGATAACTCAAAGACAAGGCCCTGCTTGTGTGGTGCGACAGGCTTCAAACGACGTTTAGCTGTTTTCCTGTCTTCTTATCACTCCCCCAAACCTATGTTGATTTCTTCAGGACAACCGCCCTTTTCGTAGTTCTTGCGGTACTTTTATATCTCGTGGTCCTAGAACACTATCCTGAGCAACGGGGAATTGTCGTCGGTTTGCTTCCCCTCCCACAACCGAACGGTTCGTTTTCATGGCAAGATATGCGTTTGGTTTGTTTCCTTGCAAGCAGCATTGCCACATCCTCGTTGTCTACAGCAGCATGACATACTGCCTACACGAGGAACCATGCACGAATTTTACTCGCGTAAATATGCTGAATGTGAATGTACCGGGTTGCCGGTTATTTTTAACACAGGGTAGTATTTTCAAAGTTATCGGGTATTAACTTAGTAACTTTCGATGCACTTCTCTGCCACCATGTCTCTCGTGTTTACTAACCCCTGTCCACGAATGACTTGATCACCATTCTACCAACAGGTGAAGACGGACAATCCTGAACTGAAGGTCACGGAGATTAGCAAGGTGCTTGGTGAGAAGTGGGGGAAGTTGGACGAAACTCAGAAGAAACCGTATCAGGACAAGGCCGACGAGGACAAGGCCCGCTACAAACGAGAGAGGGATGCCTACGACTCGAAAAAGGCTGCTACGGAGCCGCCTCAGCAATCCGACTCCAACGATAGCGACGCTGCGAGCGACAGTGACTAGTCCCCTACAACCAAGCTTGCGTATAGTTTAAATGGGCAGTTGCAGGCGGAGAACTTCACAAAAAAAACTACTCTGTTCGATTTACCTCATCGGCACCTTCCGAACGACATAGACGGTTTTGACGCTTTCACACCTTCAAAGTGTGGGCGAACATTTTCTCGAAATTTCTCGCTTAAGTGTTCATAACGCAACAGACAGCGAGTGTCATTCCTTGGACGTGGCGTTGCTGCTGCTACCTCCTTGCGTAGCTCCCTGGACACTCGAACGTGTCAACTGCAACAGAATGCTGGAACAAGGTCCCAGTAAGTGGCATGTGGTCCCAGTAGAGCATGAGCGTTACCGATGTATTCCGCAAACCAGCTCCCTGCAAAACGGCGCAATTATTGAACGGGATTTTGGACCATAAATCAACCGAACTGGCGTAGAGTCGTAAATGGTGAGGTGTTGAGACTTTTCGCTGCCGTTGGTTGCCTCAACCATGGTGCTGTGCCTGTTGTACAGTCATCGGACAAATACAAATTCAAGTACGGGCATGTTTCAACACCTTTCTCACCTCGTCTATCAGACCGTACTTCACTGTCATGTCGTGTTGCAGGAGGTGGGCTTCCTCTGCGCTCTCGACGATTTTGTCCCACAAGATCACCTGGCGACGACGAAACAACGATTTGCTTGTAGTGAGAGGAACTTTGGAACTTTGGTTCTGCCGCGAAACGCGGGCGGGTTCATGGCGAGGGCAACACTTCCACACGGAAAATTGAAATTTACATCAGCTCTCGCTCTCCATTGTTCCATTGCCTTGAATTTCACTCTGAATGCTTCCCCTTGCTAGGAGACGTGCCAATCGTGGGAATCTGAATGATGCGAGCACTTTGCGGTTCCTTGGACCATCATGTAGCCTTTGGGAACAGGCGTATTCGGCGGGCTGACGTTCTCTTATGGTGTAGGGTCGCTATTCGATGCGCGTTTTTTACCCCAGTGATTGCTTTATCAATCAAGACGTGAGCGGGTGCTCCACAGTAAATTTGCTGCCTCCGAGTTGAGACGCAGATACCCCAGTATGCATAACAAACTTCAAACTTCGAAACAGTGCACAACCTTCACGAATTCTGCCCTCGATAGACGAAAGATAAAGTACGTACCACTCTACAAGAACACGTAACGTCACACACGAAGCTTGATCAACTATCGTGACGCACATGGGAAAACAAGATTTGCAAGTGCCGGTGGCCTTCCACAGTAGTAGTGTGCATCGATATCCAAGATGTTGGCGTCTGTGCCAGCCGATGACAACGCCGAGAAGCTACGCAAACCGAACGGATTGACTTGCCTGGTTCACAGGGTTTGTCGGGGTCTCGTATTCAGCTACCACGAACGCGAAGAGTTGTTTCACATTCCAGTTGAACGCCGGAGCCAGATCTGCGTCAACATCGATGTTGAGGAGCAACCGATCCGTGCCTTCAGATTTTCGAAACGTCCTGAATTTGCTCACCCCTAGCTTCCTCACGTCCGGAAACCCTGCCAAATCACCACGTAAGGCGAGACGGGAAGGAGATTTTAGCAAAACCAAAAAGAAACAAGGAGCGGCAAGTGAAGGTACAAACAGCATATCATGTACAGCCATCACCGCAAAATCGTACTGAACGAATTAACTGACTGTGCTAGGGACATCCTACAGCCGGTCCATGATTCACCTCCAAGAATCACACAACCATTTGAATCCATTCCGGCCGAGTTGGCAATGGGCCAAGAGTAGCACCGCCGCGGTACTAGCAAAGGATGCAGGGTTCTCTCACAAATGAAGGAAACATCTGACACTTCTTGGGTTTTCAACACAGGCGTCTGCACGAATGTACACTCCATCAAGTACACCGCTTTTTGCCGTAAAGAGCGGACCGCTAGGTAACACTGAGCCTCGGAGCGCGGCGTTTTTTCCCTTCATCCCCAGGAGGGAAAACAAGGCTCTAAATATCGGGCTCTTCCAACCAGCAGCGATGTGGGGCCCCTCCTGCAATTTCCGCCTAATTATGGCATGTAAAAAAATAATCGCCTTTTTCGACCAGAACAAGGTCTATAGTGCACCGATTTACGATCTGCTGGCTTGTGAGGAGGAAAATAATTACTCTTCGTCACACCGGTTTCGTCACGCTCCGACCAAAGATGGCCGTGCTTGACAGGCATTTCCCCCCCAAAATGATAAGATATTTTGACCCCTTTCCCCGGGGAGCTGTAGAGGTAATGGGGGAACAACAATCGGAGAACTACCATACACACGCGTTGCTCGGCTCAAAACCAGGAGAAACAGAGGAAGCACTCAGCTAAGCACGCAACACCGTAAGAAAGCACTGGCGAGGGAAGGGAGCCATGCACACAGCTCGTTGCGGATGTCATTGTCATTGCTGCTGAATCGGTGTGTGGGGAGGGATCATAGGTAAACCTGCGCCCGGAGTAACAAAAAATCCAAACTGATCCCAACAGACGCGGCGTTCTTATTTTAGGCTGTGCCAGACTCTCGCGCCCCCAATTTCTGAGCGTCCTACAGCCTCCTGGTGTTGATCACCTCAAGACAGAGCATGGACACAGCTCCTGGCGGATACTTTTGGTAATGCCGTTGCTATGGTGTGTGGGGAGGGGTCACCTGGAAACAAGCCTTTGTCACGGGAAAAAAATGCCCACGCAGAGCCCTTTTTTTTTGTCCCAGGCGCCAGGGTGTTTTTTCTCGCATGCATGCATTGCTGCCGAATAAGATAGGTGGGAGTCATTGCCATTACAGCAGCAGCAGCAGCAGCACTACAAGTGCATTGTAATCTACCGCTGTTCATTTGTGTCTGTGTCAGTACTGTTAGGTGCCGATCGATTGGCGGTACTGCTGTAGCAGAGGCGAGCATGAGTGTATATCTCTCCGCCGTTCATGTGTAGCAATATTTAACAAACTTCCAGCTGGAGCGGGTGCACTAGTCTTGCAAGATCCGTTCGAATATGTTCGAACATATACCACGCACGTAATGAATTGCGCGTTCGGGTTGTGCTGCGTTGCTGCCTGGAAGCAGCGTGTCTCGCACCTTGCACAGCATCGCAGGTAGTCTACTGTCAGGTTTGAGTCGTACCCCGCGGCTCGTTACCCCTCCATATATCTAGTATTGACCATCCAACAACGAGCTGTTGATTATCCTCTGATGCTGCGGATGGGACAACTTCTGCGCCATCACGCACATTAATCCAAGGTCTTTTGTGCTCCTCCAGGAGGCGTTTGTTGTAGCTATCGGGAGGCACAACTACGACCCGATTGAATGCAACAGCAGTGATGTTCCACCATGCGAGGTGTGGGAATTGAAGCACGATCACAATACCGTACGCACAATTCGGGATCGAACTTAGGAGTTCCTTCGTAATAATGAGACGAGGCCGAAGGGTAGGTGGCAACTGCAAGGGACGGTCGAGAATCGGATGAAAAACACAACTTCATCGATCAGAGTCGGTTTGAAAGGTCGACAAATAGCAGCCAACATCACCTCATATCCTGCAGTTCGCACCTTCGCAGTGAGAGTGCAAGCAAAACGAAAAATACGAGACTGCAACAGATTTCCTCCATTTATACAACATTCAACGGAGACCTGCATTGACCATGAAGACAGTACAGAGCGGATGCACAACAACGGATCATATCTACAGCGGGAGCCATGGCGGATGACTGGAAATCGTAATCGTTCAGCATTACGCCGAGAAGGGGTTGCTGTAAGACGAACCTTGCCCGGACAAAAACGGTAGCCATTTCGTCAACCGCAGAATTCTGGAAATTTGCCCGTTTTCAAGTTTGCATGGTCCTTTCGCGGATGGGTAGATTTGGCTGATCACTACATCAAGACCACAGACGCGACATGGAGTCAGGGTGCAGTGAGCAGGGTGTGGTACCTGCTGCAATTTGGTCGTCATCGTACTTGACACGTGTCACGCCCGAAAAACTGGCCCATGTAAATAAATTCTTGCGGCTTACGCGTCGAACTCGACAAAGGAGTGCTGACCTTGAAAAGTGTGGCATCATGGAAATTACCTTTAATCACTCGATCTTCGTATTTATTGGCTATGTGGTGCTGCAATGGTGCTGCGGCATGCTTGCACATGATCGCATCATCAATATTTTAACTTGGGTGCCGACACCGGAAAATTCAAGATCCCACACAGCACTACCCAAGTGAATGTCTCGCAAGCTTCAGCTGAGTCAGCTGTTTTCGTGCCTTTCGTGCCCAGCGAGTCTTACTGTACAGAGGTCTCACCAAGTTGACTAAGAACCATGAATACCGCGACTTCCAACAGCTGAAGGAGCTGGCTGGCAAAGGACCGGCATACCTTGGTGGAGATATGTACTCAGCGCCGTGAGCACGCTCAACACAAGAAGAACGGTGAGCCCAAAGAAGACCACCGCATTCACACGAACCCATGCTGTATGCATGATGCCGTCAAGTTGGCACACACCACAGGATCAGCTCTGGCCTGGGCTGCTGCTGCGTGCTGGTGTTTCGTGGAACAACGTGTGTGGACCAGACCAGCAGCAGTCGCGGGGGAGATGATATTGACACATATGTGTGTGTCATCTTATTTGACACATAGGGGACGATAACGACTATCCCCGGGGTTTCCACAGTAGAATTACGGTTCCTATACAGGTAGTCTGCGCGCACATTGACACAGGTAGAGACGGGTGCACTGAGAGCACTACAGGCACCTGATCGTCGCGAAAGGCAAGGAATCACAAAGTACGGCCTTCTGTGCCTACAGAAACCAAGTTTCGGCTCCCGAGGCCCCAAACTCGGCGAGATCGGCCCGACGATGACCACAGGACACACATGTAGTCTACACAGGCAGTGCTGCTGTGGATTTACCGCTTTACCAAAGATATGGCGGGGCGTTGGTGTTGCAACCTCCGCACAGCACACGCGCGCGCGCTGTATGTACACCATCCAGCCTGTCAGGTAACACACGGCATAAAAGAACTCTCCCCAGCACGTAGTAGTTTGTCTCGGGCGTTTCTGGCTGTTTGGAACTCAAGACTAGTCTAGACTACGTGTACATGAATAATATGTGCGCCGAGTCCGCTCGAACACGCATGTTTCTCTCTTACGGCCTGCACACCAATCTACAATAATAGTCGTATGTAGATAATTCGTGTTTCGACTCCCAGTGCAAGTGCGACTTTGGCGTCGCCGTCTCCTGGAACAGCACCACACCCCCAACAATTCAAAAGGTGACATGTGGAAAATCCACCCAGGGCAGTGAGGTGGTGGCATCTTCTGGGGGGATATCGGTTGTGTGGGCGGAGCGGTGGTCACTGTTGTGGTTCCGCAGGCACGGTGACATAGGGGTCTTCAACCCTAACCGCCGCCATCATTCTGTCAATCGTCTGTCCAGATCAAGCTTCAGCACGTCCCGGAATGCACGATGGAAGCTTGCGCCACGGTTGAGCAGCAGCAGAATTTGATCCCGCTGGATCTGCTCGAAAAAGAGTGGGCTGATGGTATCCGCGAGATGACTCGGGGGGGCGTCAAACCTCACCTGATGTACCGCTGCATTGCAGAGTCCATCAAGCCACAAAAGCTCGGACCAAGGGGTGCTCGCAAGGTGAGCTGTAATAGCGTCGGGGTTTGGCCTCATGCACAGGAGTGGATGCTTGCATAGACAAACCGTGCCGATTTGCACCAGTTCGATGAAGAATCACTGCGATACGAGCCAGCGTTTGAATGAAGGCAAGCAAGGGATGCGCCCCACGTTTGTACCCTTGGTGTTCCTGCAGACCGACACGAACAGACCTCGCAACAACCCCACTCTCTTTGTTTTTATGCGCGTGTGTCCCAGGTGCGAAACATGTCGCGAAAGGTCACAGGTGAGCTGTGGGCATCGTCCGGTGACGCTCTGGAACTCGTGGCAGAGCTGGAACGGGGGAACGAGACGGTGAAGTGGGAGCTAGACGCGGAGAACATCTTGAGGTCCATTATGTGGGCCTCACCCGAACAAATTCTTCTCGCCAGGACGTATGGTGGCGTTGTCATCCAGGACAATACATGCCTGACGAACAGGTATGGTATTTTTCCGGTAGTGCATCGTCCTTTGGATGTTGGGGAAATGGTTTAAGCAGCAGTAGAGGTCCCACCGTGAATCATGACATGCCGTGGCCGAGCAAGAACGTATAGCCTTACACAGACCTTTTCTCCTGTACCAATCGTACAACAGGTACAACAACAAGTTGTGTTTGTTCGTGGGCGTGGACTCAGAAAACAAGACGCAGGTTTTCGCGCAAGGTTTCTTCAGCAACGAATCAACCGAAGCGTTCGATTTCGCCAACAAGTTCTTCCTCGATATCTGCGGGGGTCACCCTAAGGTGGGTGTGCTTGTGTTCGTAGTCGGCTTGCTCGTTGTAGACCTCATTTAACTTTCAGACACTACGGGAACTCTCGAAAAAATAAATGCGCGAAGAAAACACGAAGGGTCCGGTCGTTTAAGGCTGTGGGGTGTGCTTATCGTGTCGCGAAAATGAGGACATCCTAGAAAAGGTCTATGTCCTCAAATTGTCCCCGTTCCGGGCGCCAAGGGGTTCAGAACGGAGGTTGACGTCACGTGCGCGGGGCACTGGCCGTTGGCCGTTGTGGTTGTCATGTCTCGCTATTTATGAAGATCTCCATTTCCACACCCCTTTCCCATGCCCGCGCCCTCGTCACAAGGTAATCATTACAGATTCCGACGCGGCAATGAAGGAGTCCATCAGAGGTGTGTTTCCCCCACCCCACACGACGCACTTGCTCTGCTCGTGGCACATCTGCAAGAACATCAAGAAGAAGTGTCTGTCGATATTGAAATCGGAAAAATGCGCGGACTTGCTCAGGCGGTGGACGAGGGCATCGTTGGCGACATCAATTGAGGTAGGAACGCGGACAGGCCTTCACAATGCGTACCTCCGTCGGTCACCACGTGCGGTTGTGCTTTGGTGTTGCTTGAGGGTGCTTGAACGTGCTCGTTCGCCGCTGCTTGCATCACTCCTACGACCAACCTCGCCGTACATGTTTTTGGTATCGTCCACGACCCCAGGCGTTCGACGGGGTTTGGACAGACGTCGAGGACCTCGTCAAGGGCACGGATTGCGAGGAATATATCCTCAAGTTCCTGTACGAGTGAGTATGTACGAGTGTACTCGTTTGCGCTTGACTCCATTTCCTTCGTGATCACATCGTGTCAATCATGCGGTCATTTTTTGTCAAGGCGTCCATCGTGTTAATTGAGTGGTAGTATTTTGCCGATGATGGTGCTGGTTGTGCACGCTAGCACACAGCCACCCCTCCCCCCTGTCTTGCAGGCGCCGGAAGCACTGGGCGCGCTGCTTCCACCCCACCGTGATGACGTTGGATATGACATCCTCGCAGCGCGTCGAGGGCACTTTCAGCGTTCTCAAGAAGGGCCGCGTCTTGCGAAGGAACTCGACCTTTCGCCAAGTGAGGGCCAAGTGCGAACAGATTGCGGGAGAACTTCGCCTGGCATCCACAATGTGAGCGGTTTTTGGACGCATGCGAAAATTTCCGCACGTATTACGTAACCCTCTTGTGGACGCATGGGGGCTTGTGGGGTCGTTGCAAGGGCTCGCTACTCTGTCATGACGATATTTTTTCGTGGGCAATGTCGGACGCACCGCCATACATCCGACCGCAACTATCCATACCACAGGCAAGCCACTAAGCAGACCTCCCTGGGGAAAGGCTACGTGGAGAACGACGTCAAGAAATCTATGGAGAAGGTCATGACGGCGTATGCCGAGGTTGGAGCCAGCAAGTACGCGAAGGAAGTGAGTTCGCCCCTGGTGCTTTGGTGCCTGTGGCGCTTTCAAAGAACGTGCCAAGTTGAACGCGTATACAATACCGATACAGAGCGCAGTGCTTGCCCGCGTGCCCAGGTTCCCCTAACACCACCACTTGTTTCCTCTCGCCCTTCCTTGCATCCCCTGCGCCTTTACAACAGGAGATTTGGGCCGAAATGTTGGCGAGCTCGGCGTACGATACTTCCATCGTCACGGAAGGACGTGACTCAATGCAGTTCCTTCAGAATTTGGCCACGCGATCGGTCAATGACTCCAACGATTCAACGAACGTTAGTGGGCACGACCATGGAGCTGGCGACGTGTGTTGCCAAGTGCCTAAAGAGGTCTTTGAGGAAGATGAAGCTCCAGATACGACTATGTTTGGTACCACATCCTTGCATTCTTTCTGCCGGCTCGTCGAGTGCGTAGAAATTGATTGCATCGTCAAGGTCTTGTACAAACACAAGCCTGACCGCAAGGTGGGCCACCTTGTCATCGTAGGACCCGGTGGGTTTCAGCTTTGCACGTGCTTACAACTATTGAGACGGGGGTTGCAGTGTAGGCACGTCCTCGCCGCGCTTGTGACGCGGTTGAAGCGCAGCGACGAGTTCAAAGGACAAAGCATTCACCCACGGTGGCGTTCGTCTGTTGAACCGTGGAGTATTGCAGAGGTGAAGCTGGGTACGTTTGACGGGGATGGGGATGGATCGTACGATGGCGGGTTCACCGGTGACTGGGAGCCGTCCGGTGATTTTGAAGACTTGCAGGGAGACAACACGTCGGTCTCCGTGTTGTCTGTGTTGCGAGGGAGAGCGTTTGCCAACCTCACCGAGTTGTGCAACCGGGCCGTTCGCACCTATACGGACAGCATGACCAGGGACTCTACCACTGCCGATCAGTCTATGTTTGGTGATTTGATGCGCCATGTGAATGACTTTGTTGAGAAGCGTAGAAGTGGTGACACGGAAGAGTCTTCGTTCCAAGTTTAGGACCCTCCGATTACCCGGTGCAGAAAGCAGACTAGAACCAAGGATTGTTTGGAGAAAGCAGGGAAAGCCAAAAAGGTCAAGACAGAGCCAAAATAGTGAGGGAGATTAGGATGGGTGTGGCGCGTACCCCACACTCGCACGGGCAGGGTTTTAATGCGGTCTCTGTTGTTCGTTGCGGTTGCGGTTTTCTTTGGCAGCCTCAAGTACTAGACTCACCAAGGAAGTTGTGTGTGTGTGTGATGTTTATTTTATCGACCGCACGCACTGCTGTGTGCGTATGTGTGCATTAAGACCAGACCTTCGGATGTATGTTGACAATTCATAGCCAAACGGAGAGACAGGGTGGAGATACCGAACAAGTAGGGCTTCGACAAGGGCTTCGACAAGAGGGGGGGTAGAGACATCGCCGTCGGACGGACCTCCTTTGAGTGTTCGAATGTATGTAAGCCAACATTGCCGTCGGATGGACCTCCTTTAGTCTAGTATTCGAATGTATGTAAGCCAACATGAAATACAATTTTTCAAAAAGTTTTTGATTTTCCATGATGTCGCCGACACTATCTATATACGAATTATCTACATACGACTATTATTGTAGATTGGTGTGCAGGCCGTAAGAGAGAAACATGCGTGTTCGAGCGGACTCGGCGCACATATTATTCATGTACACGTAGTCTAGACTACAGTCTTGAGTTCCAAACAGCCAGAAACGCCCGAGACAAACTACTACGTGCTGGGGAGAGTTCTTTTATGCCGTGTGTTACCTGACAGGCTGGATGGTGTACATACAGCGCGCGCGCGTGTGCTGTGCGGAGGTTGCAACACCAACGCCCCGCCATATCTTTGGTAAAGCGGTAAATCCACAGCAGCACTGCCTGTGTAGACTACGTGTGTGTCCTGTGGTCATCGTCGGGCCGATCTCGCCGAGTTTGGGGCCTCGGGAGCCGAAACTTGGTTTCTGTAGGCACAGAAGGCCGTACTTTGTGATTCCTTGCCTTTCGCGACGATCAGGTGCCTGTAGTGCTCTCAGTGCACCCGTCTCTACCTGTGTCATTGTGCGCGCAGACTACCTGTATAGGAACCGTAATTCTACTGTGGAAACCCCGGGGATAGTCGTTATCGTCCCCTATGTGTCAAATAAGATGACACACACATATGTGTCATTATCATCTCCCAGTTCGAAACGCTAGAAATAGGGAGAGCCATCGTCGCCACTGCACCCCTACGAAGCGAAGCGAAGAAAGCATTGGTTTCAAGATGTCAAGGCATTGTGTGTCGGTTCTTCTCCTGGTTTGTATCGCACAAGCATGCTTGGCCTTCGTCCCGAGCTGGACGGCGACGTTCAGGTCGCCACGCTTGCAGCCCCCTCCTTCCACGCCTGCAACGGCGACGTGTTCGCTCTCGCAGCCCTCTGGTGCGACCTGCCCTGTGTTCGGGGCTTGTGGCACTTGTGGGGCGCAATTTTTTTACCCGGTGCGAGGGATGACGAGCTTGAGCGCGATGAGCGAGGGCGACGAGGAGGAGGGGGGCGGCGATCATGATGCGCGAGAAGCTACCGATCGCATTCCGGCGGCGGACGAAATCCGTGCGGTCCAGGATGACATCCGTGGTGTAGAGCGCAAGATCGAGGATGCAGAGAAGGAGACGGCAGAGGTTGTCAAGAAGATTGATGATATTGAGGCTGCTATTGCTGGGGGCTCCAGGTACCTCGGAATGACCGACCCCGAAGCCCTCTTGAAGCAACTAGGCAGGAAGGAGGAGCAGCTACGCAGGAAGGAGGGGAAGGAGGAGCAACTCCGCGAGCTCCTTTTGAAGAAGGAGGACCGGCTCTCCAGGATTGAGCAGCTCCGTGCCAACAACGCCCCCGCAGGTATAGAAGCGTCCTATTACCGTATATGACACAAGATAACACACCCCCTGGACCGATTTTCAAAGCTCGATTACTCCACGACGAAGAGGATGCATAAATGAAACAATACGCTTTCGAACAGCTCTCGACGAGACGGTTCCAACGCCGCCGTTTTCGGCGCTGTGACTCTTCCTACTGTTGAGAAATCGAGCTTTGAAAATCGGCCAAGGGGGTGTGTTATCTTGTGTCATGTACGGTATATGTGGAGATCCACAACAGTGTACAGATTAGGGGATGCAGGTCGCCCGCTATAAAAGCAGACCATTTGAAACAATTCGAGGAGTTCCTTGTGGCTGGTACATTGTAGTGCTGTCGTTTTGCACGGTCAATTCGCCTCCTTTTTTTAAGCAACCTGCTGACGTTATGGTAGATCTACGCTCCTCAACAACCTACAGTACGTGCGACGTTTTCTTCCCACCTGGCTGCAGAACGCTGTGACAAGTCCTCCTCTGCTACCCAACGAGTATTACTCCTACATTATTTCCTCCCATTATTGGATTTTGTTGTCTGCCCCACTGGCCCCCATCCTCTACCTCGATTAGCTAGACGACCCAACCAGGGTCACACAGGAGGGGGGGTGTGGACCCCCTCCTGCGGTGCCTGCCTGTTGTTTTTTTATCGCGAGAAGGGTTCAGCACTCCCCACCCTCAACGAAGTCCAGATGCTTAGTAACGAACCGCTTTCAATTTCCAGGAACGAATGTGAGAAAAAAACTCGCTTCGTCGGGGCTCGAACCCATGATCTGGTTCTAGAAGGTTGCGGGAAGGGCGACCGGATGTACCCTCGTGGTCATTTGTGTAAAGTCACCGCATGCTTAGTTCCACTCCGGTTGTGTACGCCGAGCAGGTTTTCGGGGGATCGTGCTTTCTTGACAGAAGAGTTAAATGAGCTGCTCAAGAATTTTCAGCACATGCACCCACAGCTTTCCTCACGCCCTCCCTTCGGAGAGCACTTGCTTGTGTCTCTTTTGAAGCTGTCTTTGTGCCGGTGCTTTTTCGAATGTTGATTGTGACGACATGCCATGACATGAATGGGGCTGCAGGAGGAAAGGGCGCTCGTGGCACGTGATTTCACAACAACCTTTGACAGCAATCTTTGTATGAATGTAGTCTTTCAGCAGATCCTCGCGAACGGACGCGTTGTGAGGATGCGGTGAAATTTGGAACGTTTGAAAAGAATGCCAACTTTGTAAGACCCGATTCCGGGGATGTTTGCTGGTTCCGGTACACAGATATGGGTCGCATGTATTGCGAGTTATTGCAAGGTATTTCAAGGGAGCAGGTGCTTCGGTAGGAGTAGTGCAGCGACAACGGCTGCCTGTCCAACCCTGTGCTGGGCTCTTCCGTGGCCCCCTTGCGATTTCCACAAGGACGGGTTCGCGATATTCGCTCCTGTCTCTTGCCGTAAACTCAGTGTAGGGTGTTTCGTGCTCTGCGCTTCAAAAGCGGTGTCCTTATCCTTTTTCATGCACGGGCATTCTACCCGTGTGTGTTGGGCGTGCTTTCAATGTCACCGAACTTGCTCGAAAGTGAGTTTGGTCAGTAAGCATGGCATGCATTCGGATCTTGGACGTCCTTCTTATCTTTCATGCTCATCTTCATTTGTTGACGAGCTTTTTGAGATGTTCATGTCTCTTGACGTTGGCGAAGCAGGGCCAGTCAGGCTGTATATGCTTCATGCAGATGCCCATCATTTTTCTTTTGTGCGATTGCTGTAATCGACTTCGCCAGCGGAATAATGTTGCTCATCATCGCTGTCCAACACTTTTCTATTCCGCCATGGCCGTCTTTTATCGTCTTCCCGTTGCAGCCAAAAAGAACGTATCGGATTTTGCGGCGGCATTAACCGGAGCCGTGGTAACTGAGGACACCCTGGAACTCGTAAACGGCACGTTCTTCCTCGGCAACGGTAAATTGGGATCCAAGCTGTTCATCCGTCCTTGTTACAAGGAAATGGCAGACCTCATCTTGAGCGGTAACGTGCAGGATATTGTGGTCACGGGCACTCCCGGAATCGGCAAATCGATGTTCGGATACCATCTTCTGTACCTGCTTCGCTGCGAAGGGAAAGCTGTAGTGTATGAACTGAAGGGCGACTGGTACCGGTTTGGTGATGAGGGGGCGCAGAAAGGAACGTATGCTGACTTCGATCGTGCTGGGTTTACCCAGGACCCAACAGCTTGGTACTTGAGTGACCCGGAGGGCAGGCCTAAGGAGAATTTCGCAGGCACAACAGTTGTGTTGGTATCGCCTGACTTTGAAAGAATTAAGGAGTTCTTGAAGCTGCCCACTTCCGAGCGAATATTCATGCCAGTGTGGAGCCTGGGAGAGCTTCTGAAATGTCGGCGATTTGTTTTCCCTCATGTACTACGTGCCGACGTGGTGAAGTCTTTTGGTCTGGTTGGAGGTGTGGCACGAGCAATCTTTAACGCGAAAAAGTTTAAGCTTCTCAAAGATGGTATATTGACCGCGGTGGGCGAAGTAGATGTGGCTTTGCTGAGACGGGCAGCTAGGCTTTCGAGCGGGCAGAACAGGATTCAAACCAATAAGATAGGCGATAAGCTATTCCATATCTTGTCAAACTCTGGCGATAATTTCGAAGGTTACACGGTCACGTTCGCCAGTAATTACACGCGTGATTCCATTGCACTAGGAGTTGCCGAGAGGGGAAGAGATGAACTGCTAGCCTTTGTGGGGGAATCTATCCGCAACCCAGATGTTTCCAGAATGCTTGGAGGAGGAAGTACGGTTGGCAACATGTTCGAACAAGCTGCACACCTCGAAATCAGTGGGCGCCGAGCCGCCGGAGCACCGTTCGATATGGCAGTCCTCAACGCTACACGTAGTGAGGTTTTATCGGGGGAGAGAAAAAAATGGGATTTGAGTTTCAACGAAGTAAAGGTATTCAAGGGCAACAACACTTCTTTTAAGTATGACCGTGATATCTATTACAGGCCTCTGGTCTTTCCAGGGATTGATGCGTTCGCTTTGGACAGTCGTGATGATACCCTGTACTTTTTTCAAATGAAGTATACAGGTGCAGAGCCTATCGAGCAAGGATCGAAAGTACAGAGTTTCTGGGACGCAGCTGTTGCATCCGAGGATGTATCAGTCAAGAAATGTGCTCTAGTTTTTGTTGTCCCAGAGGGCACCGCATTTGAGAAGTCAAAGGTGTTGAGCAAGTGTTGGCTGCCGGGAGCAAGTACTGATTTTCTGTCCTCGTGTGGTGTATGCGTTCTTGCAATCAGATGTTTGCCGTTGTAGTCCTTCAAAACATTTCAAGATACATGGCGTTGTGTTTCGGCAGTATAACGCAGCACGGCGGTGTTGTTTCAGCGGTACTTGAAGCCAGGTTATTGTTTTTGGCGGCAGCGACGTGGGGCAGTAGATAGAGCTCACAACAATATCGCTGTGG